TACATCTGTGACAAGAAAAGCATCCCCGAGCAGGAGGCCAGGCATTTCTTCAGGCAGATTGTGTCAGCTGTCCACTACTGTCATCAGGTAAGGCAGTTTTTCTCATATTGGATCTTCAACCTGCTGTTGTCTTAAGCCTAATGACACAGGGCTGCGCTCAGATTCACTGTTTTTCCAAGGCGCTGCCACCTCCAAAGTTACATAATGGGCATTATTCACTGTTAGCCTGGGGGAAAATGAACAGTTGATCTGTACTGAGACCAAGTGTAGGCTAAAGGCCAGCAATCCCAACATGCACACGCATGGTCTCACAGTTTAATGAGGGTGTGAAGGAACAGAACACACACACACAGCAATCGGTTGTTCTAGCAAGCCCAGAGCCGTGCAATTACCACCATTCAGTGAACATTATATTTTATCATGGCTCTGCTTGGCAAAGCATTTATAAATAAACGTTTGCTAGACAGTATTTACTGAGTGACCTGCCCTTTCATATTACTGTGTTAACCACCTGTCCTTGACCTCTTTACGGAGGTCTGATGTCTCGTTAAACATTTATTTATCGAAGTTACTCAGCAGAAAAAGGCCATCTGTTATATCACCTACATTTGGCACAGCGTCAAATTCCAAAGTTTCTTCATGATGGCATTTTAACAATAAATGAACGCCACGCTACACAAAGAATGTGTTCGTTGCTACAGCAAGTGCTCATATGTAAGGAGCAGTAGCTGACCTGCTTTTTTTTTTTTTTTTTTTTTTGTAAGTGAAGCAAATGCAAACTTGAGTCAAAGGCATGCCCCCCTACAGAGCAGAGCACAATGAGGCACTGCTGACGTACCAGAGAGGTCTTCTGTTAGAGAATAATGTGGTGTAACCCAGTAAAGCAAATCCTTTCTACGTAATGCAGACAACTCCCAGTAAACCGATCCCTGACAGCCTGCATGAAACAAAGCTTTTTAAACAAAAAAGAAGGAAAAAAACCCCAAAACAAACAAAAATAAATCCTTTTTCCTCTTAGAATGGAATCGTACACCGGGACCTGAAACTGGAGAACATTTTACTGGATGACAACGGCAATGTTAAGGTATGCATGATTCATGTGGATTGAAATCAATAGCCTGCGTTACGCATTTTATAACTAACAGTGATGCGCTGTAACTGAAGAACTTCAATGGGAAAATACGCTTCACGTCACATCTTTTGTTCTCACAGATTGCAGACTTTGGGCTGTCGAACCTCTACCATGGTGACGAGTTACTTCAGACTTTTTGCGGCAGTCCTTTGTATGCCTCCCCAGAGATTGTCAACGGGCGTCCGTACCATGGCCCAGAGGTGGACACTTGGTCTCTTGGGGTGCTTTTGTACACGCTGGTTCACGGAACCATGCCATTTGACGGAAACAACCACAAGATGCTAGTGCAGCAGATCAGCACCGGAGACTACCGGAAACCAAACAAACCCTCTGGTAAGTTTTTAAAACTAATTTTTTTCCTCAGTGAAGCTAAATGATATTTTAGCTTTTATAGGAGTCTTGATTTTTCCCATTTCTTTCCATCAGATGCATGTGGACTCATCCGCTGGATGCTGATGGTGAATCCTGACCGCCGAGCTACAATAGAGGAGATTGCCGGTCACTGGTGGCTCAACTGGGGCTATCCGCAGCCGTTACTGTGTGAGAGAAGGAGCAGTCATGTGGAGCAGACCTCTGCCCCAGTATCTCCGTCAACATCACAGCCTGCTGGGCTGGCCGGTGTTGCTAGTTGGCTGCGTCGTACATCCAGGCCTTTACTGGAGAATGGCTCCAAGATGCGCTGCCTGCTCCGCACGCAGGGCAGTGCAGGGGATGTAGTCCGACAACGGTCCCTGCGAAGGTCACGTAAGGAGAATAACATCACCCAGGCAGTTCACGAGGGTAGCACAGACACTCGGCCGTCCAAGGGAATTCTGAAGAGGCGTAACAGTGTGAAACAGAAGTCGATAAGCGAAACATCAACTGTCAGTTTAGTGGAGCCACAAAATATCTTGGACTTGTCTGCACCAGGTAAAGCACCTTCAGCTGCACAGCTGCCCCGCAAAGGTATCCTAAAAAAGCCTGCTGAGCAAGAGTCGGGGTATTACTCATCATCTCCAGAGAACAGTGACTCTGGCTTGGTAACGCAAACTAAAGAGTGCCCTTCAGCACCACCCTACAGGAAGGGCATCCTCAAGCGTAATGGAAAGTTCTCTTCTGGTGGGTTACATGAGTTTGGGTCTTTGGACCAGCTGGCGACATCTCTGCCCCATGGAGGTGGCCGATCAAGACCAAGCGGAGCCATCAGCGAAGATAGCATTTTATCTTCAGAGTCCTTTGATCAGCTGGATCTACCAGACCACGTGAGGCCAGCAATGCAAATGGATAAACCAGCCAAGGCGAGCATGAGAGGCTGCGTTTCTGCTGACAACCTTCTGGACATCCAAGAAGACAGAATTCTGTCCAATGGGCTGTTGAGGTCCTGGGACTGTTACAAGTCTGGAGTGGCTGACAGTGCCTTTTCGATTTCAGACTGTGATAACGTCACAGAGGCTTACAAACAGGCCATGGTCATACGAAGCTCCAATGCAAGCTGAAGACCAGTAATAAGGGACAAGATGCTGGCTAAAGAATTAGTGGTCATCCTGAATTTTGAAGTGACTTGAACAATATTGTGGTCATGAAAGCCAAAGTGCGTTGTGTGAAAATACCAGAACACTGTAAGGTGATCATTTTGGCAGAATTCAGGAATTAACACAGTACCAAAAAAAGGGAGAAGACTGACTGTATTTGAGATGGTCGATTTGATTTAACCGAAACTAAAATAAGGAAATGCAATTACGCAAAGGAAATGTTACAGAGTGCAATTTGACTTTCATCAAACAGTCTCAGGAGAAGAGAGCTTGAACTCTGGTTTTCATTGTTAGAGGTTGCTAGTCAATTAATTCACAATGAAACCAAAAGCACTTCAGAGACAGAAATTCGGGAGACATTTTTAATACAGTTACAGTAGATCTGATTGAATCTAGCTGGTTTGTGTCCGAGTTACAGCAGCAGAATATTCTGCATTGTGGTTTATTGTCAACGAGAAAGTTTGAGAAAGTTCAATGAGTGTTATTTGGATTCTAGCTTCGTAATCTTCTGTCAACATGATGTTTGTCTAAGATGATGACGGCAATAGCACACAGTTTCGATGTTGGAATGAGTTTTGTTTATGGGTAAGGTAACATTTCACAGATGCCAAAGAGCAGATTTGGAAAACCTTGGCGCTAAAAATCCCCAGCAAAATGTGCCAAGTTTTGATGTTTTAAACAGGGACTACTGACTTTTTTTTTTTTTATTTTATAAATGTTTTTCCTGAAATGACTTGTTCTGTGTTTGGATAATGACTTGAATAATAATAGTGACCCTATGAATCACTGGCCTAACCAGTCGAACCTGCCTTTGCTTGCTAGCTTGCGCTGATACAAGTGCACAAATAGCCTTTGAGTCTACATACACGTGTGGGAGTTTTACAAAAACAGGTGGGGCCCAGTTATTTTTTTTTTTATTTTTTATTTTTTGAAAATCAACAGTATGAAGTTCCCCAACTAACTACTATTTGTTTGTTTTATGAAGTTGAATCATCGGTTATGGAACAGCGTAGTATTTTATAAGGCCAGATAACACCAATTAAAAATAGCGCTGCCAAAAAGTAGTCACTGAATCAAAACTAGAGTTCAAATTAAAATCATAAATTAGGCATGCAGGTATTGATCCTTAATTAAGCTTGACCAGATATTTTCGTAGCTACCTGGCTTTGTCTTGCTTTATGAAATACTCCTGGTATTCAGCTACATCAACATGTATGTTTGATTTTAATTTGGATGCTAAGCCAGTGCCTGGAATAGCACTTTCAGGCCCCTGAAACCTGATAAATATACCATTTATGTATCAGTGTCATGTAACAAGAGTTGCACAAAGCCATTGATGCAAGCTGCAGAACCATGTTGTTCAGAAACATGGATCTGATGAAGGAGGCTCATCAGGAATTGAAAGCCTGTTCATATGCAAGAGATACATTTTTTTTTATTTTTTTTTTAATTATTGAAAGTTATGTTTTTCTTAATTTCTGGAATCTGATGGATTGTATTAAGATGAAGGTAAAACTCATTCTCACATATGATCTTTGATTATTCAGGTGTGACAAGGAAAAGATTGTTTGTAGGATGTTTGTTTTGTTTTTTGCTTTTTTAAAATAATTTAATGTGTTTGTAATGTGGGCATTTCATTGTTTTTGTTTCTCCCTTTCCCTTATCCCACATATTTCAGGTTTAATTTAAACCATGTCTGCCAAAGTTACTGGCTTATCATTTGTATGACTGTTCTGCTGTGTTGTCCTTGCTGGGATGAGGAAGTCAATAAAAAAACGACAACAAACAACTCATTTGCTGGCCAGTGTTGTTAATGGCCTTCATACAGATATTGCATTGACGTATAACAGGATTCATTTGCATTCAGCACAGCTAGAACCGCAGACAGACTTCAGTTTAAACTTAACAGAACCACCATCACTAGTATTAGATT